AGAATAAGCCTTATGCCAAAGCAGAATGTTTTGGGATGGCGTGTTCTGATCTCTTTCACAATCTAGAAGAGAAAAAAGAATTAGTTTAATTTTAATTGTTTTTTATACTACCATTATAAACAAATGAAACATGAAATAGGTATCTCTGAATTTTAGTTTGAACAACTGCTTATTAAAATAGCGCTGTATTAATCCTTAGTGTTTACCTAATTCTTTTAATTAGAGTTATTTTAGGTAAAACAAAATAATTATATAGCAATTTAAGGCCAAAATAAATTGTGTTATAAAAACAATTACTTAGATAATTAGTGGAAGCATAATATGGACTTAATAATACAGGACTACTAAATAATCAGTATTTGTCTTGGGTTGGAAAATTGATATAGCGGAACAAAACTTCTAACCTGAAAGATATCTGGGACAAGTTTGTGTTCTCTAAAATCGAAGAATGAATTTTTTTTTTTTCGGTACCGGGAATCGAACTCATGATCTTACACTTGCCAGGCAGGCACTGTGCTGCTGAGCTAAATCCACAGCCCCGAAGAATGAATTTTAGGAACAATGGAAGTTAAAAGCAGGTTATATTTATTGGGGGAAAGAAAGCTTCTGTCTGAGAGAGAAGGGGTCCTGATGGGTTGCCAAGGACCCTGCCTTTTCTAGGGGTTTTTAAAAAATTAATTCATTTTCTTTTAAGAGCAGAATATATTTGTTGAGGGAAAGAGAGCTTCCGTCCACGAGAGGAACAGAAGGGGACCTGAGTGGGTTGCCCAGGACTCTGTCTGTTTTGTAGAGCAGAACCTTGAGGTGAGGCAGGTCCAAGGTGGGAAACATGGGAACTTGCTAGGTGGGCATGAGGTGGGACAAAACTGTGGTCAGAGGGTAGATTACAGGTATAACTGTTCAGGTAAAATTGATTAAATCAGGATCAAATGGGGAAGTGAGTCATGTAGCAAGCGGACATGAATACAGAACAGGTGCTTTTCCTGTAGGGGGTTGGGTTAGTGACTCTTCCTGGCTTTTTCAAGGTGATTGATACCTGTTTACAATATCAATCCCTGGGGCCTGGGATATTGCTCAGGGACACAGTGCCCCTCTGGCAAGCATGAGGTTGTGAGTTCAATTCCAGGTACCAAAAAAAGCCCCGAAACTCAGTCCCTGATATTCATCCTTAAGGAGGAATGTGGGTGTATTTGTATTTGTTTAATCTTTTCTCTTGAGGTCTGAATCACACAGAAGTGCCTGTCTCTCCCACAGTTGCAAGGTATCTTGTCTTCCATACTGGGTCCTTTGAGGGCCTGGCCCTGTCTGACTGCCTATAATATTTCTGTCTAATTCAGTTGCCTACAACAAAATGATACAGATTGCTGGACCATTCACAAGTACCAACCCCTCTACTATCACCACTCTTTTATGTGTAGGATTTTCATCATTGCCTGTTTTTTTTTTTTTTTTTTTCCTTTGGTACCAGGAATCAAACTCTGGATCTTGTGCTTGCCAGGCAGGCGCTGTATCACTGAGCTGTATCCCCGGCCCTGTTGACTGTATTAAAAAAAAAAAGAAACCAAAAAATTCTTTTTACCTTAATGCCACAGGCCTGATAAAGTACATCACCACGAATCAGCTGCAAAGTTCTCATAGTTTGAGGGAGAGACCATGATCTCTTCTGAAAAATGTTTGGGGACCCACTGTAATATGTCTGAGACTTTAATATTAGGTTACACAGAAGGTAACTGTGATTTCTATTTTCAAAAGTGATTTTTAGTTATATAGTTAATGGGTGAATGCATTTTTCTTTAAAAGTAATACTAAAAACAGGATTAAAATCCCTTTTATACTGTCCCATGCCTTGTATGGTCAGTTCTACCTCTACTTCACTAGAGGTAACTATTTGAAGTTGGTATGCATACTTTCATGTCTCTGTCTCTCTGTGTTTGTGTGTGTGTGTGTGTGTGTGTGTGTGTGTGTGTGTATAAAGTTGCATGTTTTTGTGCTTTTTCTTAAGTGGTGACATATTCTTATTGTTCTACAGCTTATTTTTGCATTCAGTGACTGTGTATATAATAATTAGTTCCTATAGATCTACGTCATTTCTTCAAACAGCATTTTATACTAAAAAGCAGTTTAATTATTTATTTACTGGTGTGTATTTATTTCCATTTTTAAAATGTCTATGAACAGTGCTGAAGTGACCATTTTTACATGTTTTCATTTGTACATGTGCAGATGTTTCTGTAGGGTAAGAACAGCATTTGTGTATTTGTTGTTTGAGCAGATAATACTAAATTGTTCTTCTGAGCAACATTTTGTTATATAATACTATAGAAACTAACTCTTCAAGCCCCAAACATTGAATTTTCATCTCAAAAACATTTACTGTCAAATACATGACTCCATTCTTATAAGCTGTGAACTTAAAAATAGCATAGCTATTAGTTGTAGGTGCCAACTGGCGTATTTGTGTATAATAAGTTTTATGAACAGAGAAATTACGGAACACAGCCAAATCAGGTGGAATTTACTGTGGGAAGATAAATGACTGCTGCCTAAGAAGAATAAAGATGCCTGAAGGATAAAGTATTATTTAAGAATAGTTTTAGGAAAAGGTGAAATCATGGCTTCCTATGGATATGAAAATGAACATGTATTGAAAATGTATTTCACTCCTGAGATAGGAGAGCATCAGACAGATGCTTTAACTAGCTGAAAGGAAAAGCCAAACACAAATTGTATAGACTCACGAGATACTGAGATGAATCACAAATTGATAAAGTCAGTTTTTTCGCTGAGCATGGCATAGGGAATTGCCATATTCAGTTAAATCACTACCATACAGGAAAAGAATGTATTAATTGCCAACAATTTAGAGAGTTCCAAAATAACCCACAGACAGTTTACTGGGCTAGAATCTGATCTTCCAGGAGGTTATGCCATAGATGATGTGTAGTTTTTAATTAAGACACAGATTTCTTTCTGGGCTATGAATAAATAATCTCCAACTTGCTAGAGGACCACTGGGTGTGTAACTTAGACTTGGCAGCCAGGCAAGGTGTGGAACCAAGGGACTTCGTTGTTGAAGAGGTAGGCTTTAAAGTTGCTTTGGGAACTACCCTTCTTCAGTCTAATTTAGATGAGTGTCAAATAGACAGAGGGATTTGGACCTTTTTTGCTGCACCTAAAAATTCTAGATTTCCCTTGAGCTCTCCCATTTGAACAAGTCACCTTGAAAAATAGCATCTCTAATACTTGGTTTCCTCACTACCATATTACCTAGCAATCCTTCTAGTGGGTGTGTATTCAACGGAAATGAAACCAGTATGTGAAAGAGACATCTGCACTCCTGTGTTATGGCATCACTATTTTTAATAGCCAACACACAAAATCAACCTGAGTGTCCTTCAATGAGTTAATGGACAAATATATACACAATGAAATAGTGTATATACCATTCCAATATTGCAGTGGAATAGTGTATATTCCAAATTGAGTACAGACTGAAGAAGAGAATCCTATCTGCAACAACACAGACGGATCCAGAGGACATTGTATTACTGAAAGACAAATATCTTATAATCTCATTTCTGTGTGGAATCTGAAAAAGTTTTACTCAAGAGAAGCAGAGTAGAATAGTAGTTACCAGTATCTAGGGTTAGAATGGTAATTGGGGAAATACTGTTTAAAGGACACAAAATTTCAATTGGATAGGAAGAATGAGTTAAGAGATCTATTATACAACATGGTGACTATAGTTAATAATATATCACGTATTTGATATTTACTAAGAGTAGACTTTAAGCATTCTCGCCAGAAAAGTATGCAAGGTAATACATGTTTATTAACTTGACAATCCCATGGTGTAGAAATGTATCAAAACATCATGGTACACATAATACATATACACATGTATGCATAATATACATAAAATTGTGCAAGTATACAATAAAGATATATTTTTATTTATTAATTTAAAATATATAAATAAAAATAAAAGATGAACTTTGCCACAAAAATAAGTAAAGAAGAATAATTATGAAAACAAAATAGAATCATTCCTATGTTATTGTGAGGATGGAATGATCATTAAATGTAACTGAAAACTTAGCGTATAGCACATGCTCATTACTTGTAGCCCATGTTGTCATCCAGGTACCTCTAGGGAAAAGTTTTCTGCTTCTGTGATTTTGCAGTTAGAGCTGGCATCTTGTCACCCAGGGTCCAGTTTAACAGTTTCCTGGCCATCCAGTTTAAATACCTCTCTCTTCTTATTACTCATTTTTGTTAGAGCACTTACTGTGCTATCTTTTCATTGTTTTCTTTTTTAAACTTACTTGTTCTAGCCAGTAGAATGTTGTTTCAAAACAGTGATGGCAATTTTGGTCTTAATTGGTGACCAAGTAGAAAAGTACCTATCACACATTTGCCTCTTAGTAAATATTTATTGAGTGAATGAGGCAAATGCTGTCTATCTGCCTGTGTGCTCAGTAAGAATTCTTCCAAATTGATTCTTCTGGGACTTCCCTTAGCTATAGGCAGCACACACGCCATGATAAACTAGGGGAGGATAAATTCTGGTGAAAGAAGAGCTGATGGGAAAGCAGAAGGACAAGATTGTATTAAGACACTAACAGAATGGAGAATGTGGAGTAACAGGAAGGGAGAGGAATAAGGGAGGACGGGAGAGAAAGCGACAATCTGTTAAGACATCGCTGTGGCATTAAATTTTTGGATGTTTCATTTTACTCTTTGAATAAAGTGATGTAAATATCTTTTCCACTTCATTATACTTCCAGAAATACAAGATAGTTTAGTTCAACTCTTCAGAGATATGGAATATTTACCAGCCTAAATGTCATGATCTGCTGGTGGAACTGTGTAACTCCATGCATTGAAATCTAATCCTACTCAACTGCTTTTTCTTAATCTGTGCTTTAGTTTATAACATACAGAACGTTATGTCCGCACATTTGCAGTTTTACAACTATATTTTTTTCTTTTTCCTATAGGTAGAAAACAGACCAAAGTATTATGGAAGAGAGTAAGTATGGATTATCAAACATTTTGTAGATTGGTGTATGTATAAGACAGTTAAAGTGGTGCTTTTAGTAAAAATAAAGCAAGATAAAGGAAGTATTTAAGTTTGGAGGGAAAAAATTTTCTTTGGAAAATGTATATGCAATAATGTTGAAGATGCTGGCCACTTAAGTAAATAATCCCAGATATACGTGGAGAAAATGGATATATTTGTGTGTGTGTATGCATATATTAGATATATACAAACCTTTATATATCCAGTGAGATATGGATGATTTATTTCACATTTATACCCTTTTTCAAGTTTTATGTAAGTAGTATGTACTCTCTTTACTATCAGGGAAAAAGAAGTAACTAATGCTACCTAGAAACAACAAATTTTTGTGTGTGGTACTGGTGATTAAACCTCAGAGCCTTTAAACCAAATGACATCGATAGCCTTTTTAAATTTTATTCTTACTATCTTTTGGGAGGGTTGTTGAGAGAGGGTTTCACTAAGTAGTTCAGGCTGGCCTTTGAATTCACTATCTAGTCCAACCTGGCCTCGAACTCACCTCCCACCTCAGCCTCCCAAGTCCTGGGATCACAACATGCACCACTGTGCCAGGCTGCTATTATTTTTTTTTAAATTTCTTAAAATGTTTAAAAATTTTGAAATGTAGCCTTACTAAGTTCCTAAGTTGACAGAACTGGTCTTAAACTTGTGCTTCTCTGGCTTCAGCCTCTTACAGTTTTGGAATTAGAGGAATGAACCACCATGCTTGGCTTCTCAAAACAGTTGTTAAGAATTTAAAACATTTCCTTTTGAAGATTTATTTCCTTAATGCTTTATCTTTAAAATTGAGATATGCCTGATTTTTCCATTTAATGTTGGTAATAAGTATTGCATTACTTTTTAAAATTTGACTTTATTTGCATTTCTACAGTCAGGCAACAGGATATGTCTCCAAAATGGTTCACAATGCTGCTGTAATAGTTTCTAATTAGCACTTTGGAGAAAAATCCCTGCATTCCCAAATGAAATCATTTTTCCATGTCTTTTTTTTCCTCTTTTTGTTTTTTTGTTTTGTCTTTTTTTTGAGACAGGGTCTCGCTATGCAGTTCAGGCTGGACTTGAGCTCACTTTGTAGCCCAGGCTGGCCTCAAACTCACAATGATCCTCCTGCCTCAGCCTCCCACGTGCTGGGTTTACAGGCATGTGCCACCACACCCGGCCTTCCATGTCTTGAGATAAACAGTAATGTATATGACAAATACTTTTAAATTATTTAAAATTCTAAGTAAATTTTCAAGGTTCTTGAGAATGGACCAGAGGCATCCACCTATGACTTGGGAGGAAGGTGATTCCAAAGTTGAGAAACACTGGTATTCTTTCAATTGTATCATAACATATTATCACTGTTCTGCTTTTGTCGGGTTACTTTTAAGCTGTTTGAATTAAATGTCCTCATCAGAAGTGCTTGACACCAGAAGTGTGTCAGATTTTGGAGCACTTCAGATTTTGGAGTGTTGGATTAGGGATGCTCAGTCTCTGCTATTAAAAGTAATGTCGTAAGGAACATCATGGCACAAGAATTTTTTTGGGTGTAAGAAATACTAAGTCAACAGTAATATGAATAATTTTAAAGTTCTCTAAGTTTAATTGTCAAATTTTGTTCAAAATTTTGTTTCTTGGGTTTGATTTTCTTTTAAGGTAACTGAGATTTTTTTTTTTTAAAGATACATTTTTCCAACTGCTGTTATGTAAACTTGAGTATATACCAGTATGCTAATCTAATGTATGTGCTAGTGCAAGGGATATGCTACCATCTTCTTGCTTCCAGAAGAGTCAGACTGCTAGACTCTGGATTTAGTTCAGAAAGATTGAGGGTTTTATGGAGATTAAAAAATTGAGGAGCCCATTTAAAACCTAACTGTTGTAATTGTCATGTTTTTTACCATGTCATATTTACCATGAGCTGTTTTAATGCTAGCAGACAGTTGAGTCATGTCAGTGAGGGAAAACTCCTTAGAATTGCCACTTAGCCCTACTAAAGTTCCTAAATTATGAAGGTGCCATTTCAGAGCTTTTAATATTTGTCATTCTAAATTCAGGTGACTGTTTCTTTTGTATCAGTAGGAGCTACAGTGCTTCTCTGGAGCACTAAGTCTGTAGTTATTGCAGGGGATGGGACATTTTCCCTCTACCCACCTAGAGGGAGTCTGTGCAATAAACTAGGTGAGTCTATGAAATAAACTAACAACAGGAGGTTCACAGGAGACAAAGTCTATACATTATTAATTTTGGTATAATGTATACAAGGCCATCACAGAAAAAATGTGAATACCCAGAGAGATTTGAGAGTCTGTACACTATCTTAATATGAGAAGGGGAAGGGAGATGTACATCATTTAGGAGAGAACAAATTTTTAGGAAACACAAAATCACTTAAAAATATAAATAGGAGATACACTTAGTTTGTGACAAAGTCTGTCTGGGTATGATGCTGACTGGGCGTTAGTCTTCTTCCCTCTGTACGTATTTTTTAGCAAGTCCATATGATCAAATAACTATGTAAGAAAAGATTGCCCTCTCCAGAAATGGTTGACCCTCCTTCAGATGTACGTGAATTTTGACTTCATGCTTAGTGACCGGATTCCTTCACCACTCTTGTGTTGTCATCGTATAAGAAGCTTGCCAGGGGCCAGGCCCAGAGAAACACGTGCATAGTTAAATCCAAATGCTTTCCTTTGATTCTGTGGCAATGGATTGTCTAGCAAATAGCAGGGGGGTGTTGTTTTGTCCTGTTTTATTTTTAAAAATGGAAAGCATACCGTTTCTGAATTGGCTGTGTTTCTTAGGTTTCACGGCATGATCTCCCGAGAAACTGCTGACCAGCTCTTGAGTGTGGCTGAAGGGAGTTACCTCATTCGGGAGAGTCAGAGGCAGCCAGGAACCTACACTTTGGCTTTAAGGTTGGTCATGGACCTGCAGTTATAACTGTGCTTCCTTTAAAACTCTATTAATAGAGGACTTTAAAATTTAAACACATCCAGCATGTAATTGATTTGGTTCTTGTTTTCTTAGGGCCAAATTACCATTTTAATAGCTTTGAGACCCTTTAAAAAAATTCCTCATGAATGGTAATACTCAGTAATTAAGAGTTTAAAAACTTTTGAAACATTTTTCTTATAGCTGCTTCCTTCAATTCCATCTTATCCCTCTGTCCTGTCATCTGACCCCTGTGTCAGCTTCCATCTATTTCTTGAAGTAGGAAAGAGACTAAAAGAAAAACCCTTCGTAATTTGTAAAGCTAAAGCCAATGTCATTTCTCTTAGTTTGGAGTTTGGTTGGAGCAGCTCTTCTTGGGAGCTCTTGGCTCTTCCTGAGCTTTGCCTAGTGCGTTGCCTATTCTGAGCTTACAATATAGCTCTCCAATACAAGTACTTCCATGAACCTGATAATAATAACAGTAACACAGTTGAGAATGGTTATTCTTCGTGCCCACCCCATGCTAGGCCCCTAACCTCAATTAATCCTCACCATAAGCCTGTGTACTCTTACTGCCCTCACTTTACAGATGAGGACACAGAAGGCATGGGGATTGAGTAACAGGCCAACTAGAGTCACACATAAGAAGTTACACAGCTCATATTTCAATTGAATCTGTCTTCAAAGGTTGAGCCTTTTTTTTGTCAGTACAGGGGATTGAACCAAGTCCTTTGTCCTGAGCTTTACATTTGTAAGACAGGGTCTCAGTAAGGTGCACAACATGGGCTTGAATTTAAGTTCCTCCTGTGATTCCTGCTGGAATTACAGGCATGTGCCGACACATCCTGGCTAGAGCTTGAGCTTTTAATCACTATATATTCTTGTCTCTCCAGAGACTTAGAATAATTAGCTCTTTTTTATTTGATTTCTCATTTGTTTATTTGTTCATGCATTCATCCATTCTTTGGGAAGGACTAAAAATACCAGCTTCCTAAGAAAGATGTCAAAGATAATGACATCTGGTAGCTACAGACAGAGGGTAGAAAGATGATGTTAGTGCTTAGGATCCACACGTCTGACTGCTCCAAACGCTTACCTTTGTGAGTAATCAAAAACTTCATTCCTGGCCATAAGATTTACCATTAATCTTTCTGATAACTACAGTGATAGGATTCAGTATTATTTCATACTGAATTTTGAGTTTAGAGTTGATTATAGAAATTTATGAAAAGTGCTTTAAAAAAATTTTTTTTTAAAAATTTAAAAAAAAATTTTTTTAAAAATTTATGAAAAGTGCTATAAAAAAAACTTCTGCAGATTACCCTTCAATTACTTAATTACATTGTCTTTCAGGTTCAAATTGTGGTATTTAAGGGGAAAATCTGTGCTCAGGCAATCCAAATACCTATTCATTTAGCCACTGTATGAATTAGAAAACTGATTGGGGGAGTCACAGAACTTCTTCAAGTCAATTGATCTTTTTGCTCTTAGCATTTTATACTAGAATCACTACCTGTCCCAATAGTATAATCATCAATTGGGGTAAATAGGCCTTGATGTAAAGACTAATAGATCAGAGTAAGAAAGAAACAGGTGGGATAAAACAAGAGAGAAATCTGCACAGTCATCTTTTCTATTTTTCTGTTATAGTTTCCTTTGCCATTCTCCCAGATAATGTAGACTCTATAAAACTTCAATTTGAACTTAGTTTTGCCTCATTGCAAAGTACTTTCTGTTTCACCCTATTGCCTCTCATCACATCGTCATCTAACTTCCGCTAGTGATTTTCGCAGTTCTCATCAGTTCATTTTGGTTTTAGCATAACACACGATCCATTTGGGGTAAGCAGGTTGTGTAATTTATAGCCACCTATGTTCATTATACACTTACTGTGTTAACCAGGGGCTCTAAATTTAGAAATAAGTCTCAAACTCAGGGTTCTCAGTAGGCATTTCAAAACTTGTGTGTTCAAAACCGAATTCATCACTTTTCCTTCCCAACATGCTGTAATAGATACAATTCCTTTTTTAGCTGGTGCCTAATTAGACTGTTATTTAGTCTGTTCCCTATGACTGACACCAAGAAATTGTTTTTCTTTTTCTCTTAGGTTTGTAATCCCTGACATCTTTTATGTAGAGGGCCCTACCTTACATTATGTCATACACTATATCCCATAGCAAATAAGTTTGTTTTTGTTAAAATTGGGTATTTGTTTTATTTTTAAATATAAATTGCTTTTGAGATTAACTTTGTAGTTTTTCTTTTGTGTTCTGCATCCATTCTTTTTATATTTCATACCTTTTCATAGATCTTGGAAGTCTAGGTACTGTACTTGTGTTATCTAGCAGGATAACTTTTTTTTTGGTGGCAGTGCTGGGGATTGAACCCAGGGTCTTTACACTGAGGTATATCCCTATCCCCTTTTTATGTTTTATTTTGAGTCAATGTCTCACTAAAGTGTCCATACTGGGCTTGAACTTGTGGTCCTCCTGCCTTAGCTTCCCAGTGTTTAGAACAAGCATGGGAAACCTTGCCCTGTAGGAGGACATTTTCTTTTTGCTCATCTCATGCAACTGAGCCCAGCAATCCTGTGTCTTAAGTTTTTTCTTTTTATTTCCCCTACTTTTCAAGTCTAACCCACTTCCTGGACTAGTTCATTAATTGCCTAAGAAATTTCCCTATTGTCACCTTTGTCCTTTCTATCTTCTGTAGTATTATAAATGCCCATCTGAAAATCTCTTGCAGGTACCAGGCACAGAGGTACATATCTATAATCCCAGCTAACCAGGAGGCTGAGGCAGGAGGATTGTTTGAGCCCAGGAATTCAAGGTCAGCTGAGGCAACATAGCAGGGCCCATCTTATAAAACAAAAACATAAAAAAACTAATGCAGTGATTAGAAGGGTTGTGTGGGTGAATTGAGCTAAAAAATCACCTCTCTTATTGGCATCTCCCTATACTTCGTGAACCAGTGATCTCTAACACGTAATGTTTACGGTGATATGCAGTCTGTATACACTGTCACTGCACCAATTTCCTGTGTTCAAGAAAAAGGCACTCACTGCATGGCATGGCTGGTCATCTGTGAGGAAATCTTTTTTCTTCTTCAGCTGCCTCTTCTTCTTTGGCCTGAAATTTAGGCCAGGCCATGTCTGGCTTTTCTGCCTCTGCTCATATTGATTCCTGATTCAGGACAAACGGTGCTCAGTGGACGTTTGTCCAATTTCAGGGGGTGTGTGGATAGGCATATGCATGTTTGGAGGGAGCAGCTGGAGAGAAGGTACAGCCCAGATATTCAGCTGTCTGATTTGTTGTGTTTCAGGATGACTTTGGGGTTTGCTGTCTGTTGATTTTGGCATTTGAATTAGCTCTAGTTTAAGGAATCATAGCAAATATCAGTTAGGAGTGACCTCATTAAAGAAGTTTGGTTGAAACCATGTTTTCCTAGTTTCAGAGCTAATTTTTTAAAAAATATATTTTTATAAGGTACTGGTTAACTTTTTTTCCACAGAACATTGTTAGGTTCATTTTGGACATTTTCTTCTGGCCTGTCCTGCAGCTTATTAGTCCTGTCTTCTGCTTTTTTCATCTTCTTTACAATGTTAGGAACAGAACCCGTGGCCTCACACATGCTGGGCAGACTACCACTGCCTCACCCTTTGCTGTTGTTAAACCGACCCTTGAGTTGCCAGATTCAGATACCGTGTTATTTAGTTCCAGAACTTTTATTTGCTTCCTGGAAATAGGAAACAAGCAGGTAGAAAGACTTGTGGAGAGCTAATGAGTGATCAATGAAATGACCTTTCCAGCCTTTGGCTGTATTTTCCCATTGCTGACATTGTACCTGTTAAAAAAACTAAACAATTTCTGGGCATATGTGCAATCACAGTTTAGAACTAATTTTTTCATCATTTTTATCTGAAAATTTTATGTTTTTTTAAATTGGAATTGCTGTGAATGTAAGAAAGCCTTTACTGACTCAACAAATTTGTTAGTGACATTTTAATCCTAATGATTGTTTACTTTTTCTGCCTTAAATATCTAAAATATGTAAATAGGATTATAACTGAACATTGGATTCTCAGTATTGTTTCTCCTGAGTTAACCATTTAATTTAGTTATCCATTTATGAAATTGTCCATTTGGACTTTCTCCAAGATTTCTTGGAAATATAAAAAACCTTTATATTCATGTTATACATTTAAATGATAAAGAACTAAAGTTATGCGTGATTTTGATGTATTATTGGGCTTGCTGTCAATGTTGATTCTTTTTGATATAAAATAAAGAAGTTTATTTTTTTTAACTGAAAAGAAAGATAAAACTTAAGTATATATTTTCCAAAAGGTAGGGAAGAGAGCTACTAGAAGAAATATTTAAAATAACCACTTAAACAGGAACCTTTTCAATGTAATGTATAGATTGACAAGGACGATCAGAAAGAATAAGGAATTGCTATTTTTAAAAAATCCATCACAAAATAATTGGAATTACCTACTCACTGTTAGAACTTTGGAAGTGATATTGCGGTATAGATTTCACAGCCTGACAAACCTGGGTTCCAGTTGCTTAACTCTGTGTCTCCCTCTTCCCTCTGCCTCCCTCTTCCTCCTTCTCTATCCTCCTTTCTCCTCTCCCCTTCCCCTGCTCCTTCCCCTTTCCTCTCCCTCTCACTCCCTCTCCCTCTTCTTCTCTTGCTCTCTCTATATGTATGTTTGCATTCATAATCATTTATATATTCATACATGTGTGTGTGCTTTGGTTTCTCATTTGTAAAATGAGTATAAGCCCAATATTTCTCAAAAGAGACTATTGTAACATATCTTACCCCAATTTCAAAAATTATATTCTGTAACAGTAGAGATGCTTTAAGTATTATCTGATACTGAAGCAAACTCTCCTGTCTTCAACCTAAATTATTTAAGGAAATACGGTATCTCACCTAGTGAAAAGTTCAGAAACATAATAACAGCATGGGTGGTCAG